GGTCTGTATGGTTTGGGCGCCGATGATAATGGCTTTGGTGGACGACGAGCACATCTTGTTGATGGTGGTGCAGGGCGTGGTGTTGGCCACTCCGGCCCCCAGCGCCGCCTGTCTGGCCGGCGCCTGTCCCAGTCCGGCCTGCAATGCGCACCCGTAGTACACTTCGTCCACGTCGTGGCCCGTGATGTGTGCCCTCTCGAGCGCCGCTTTGATGGCAACGGAGCCCAACTCGGAGGCCGACAGCCCGGATAGGGAGCCCCGGAATGAGCCGATCGGAGTCCGCGCCACCGCCACCACAAACACCTCCTGTATTGTGATATCAATGATAATGTGATTATTATTTTATTTAATTATTTTTTGTATTTCAAAATATAACTTGCATTTAATGCTGACATTATGTGACAGAAATTAGTAATTAATTAAATAAAATAATAATTATAATTGAATTATTAGTTTCACAATTGAAATTACAATCACTTTTCTATGAGATTTATTAGTGAACTAATGTTTTGGGATCTAATTTTTAGCGTATTTATAGTGGCAAAAATACATGCAACTTAATCGCACAATATGGTAAAGTATGTGTATTCAACACCAAGGCCATTTAGAGCTTATGTTCCTGATGAATTTGATAATAAAATGCATATAAATACTGAATGACAGCTTAATAGACATGAGTATAAACTAAATTGATTAAACAATTTGATTACAAAAAACTTTAAATACACCAACAATTTGACAAACTATTAACAGAATATTCTCTTATTATTCTGTTGTTATATTATTCTTATATTCTGTGCTATAAATCCAATAATAATAATAATTAAGCATATATTGACGTTTAAAATAAAGTAACCTCATATAACTTTATAATCTCTATAATTATAACCTTGATAATCTCAATATCAAAAGTGATATTATTCAACTGTTAAGTACACTAGCTCTTATTATCTACTATTATATTATTAATGTACATTGGGTTTGTAAATAAAAATTAAAAATAATTGATGGAATTATTGATCCATGATCTAGGCAGATTAATAAACATGTTGAAATTATTGATTTTTAATTTGATAAAAGAAAGTATTTTAATTCTGCCATTGTAATTCCGAATTTAGAAACTTGATTACAAAACTCCGATGACAATTCATTAAGTTAAGATAACTTCGTCGTCATATTAAATGCAAAATCAATTAAATGTGAATTGATTTAAATAAATTATACTCAAAATTATGCGGTATTTAAGTCACTGGAAATTAACACTTGAACACAGACTAAATTTATATGTTAAACGCTTAAAACAAAACTATGGCTTCAAATCAGGTATTATTGCAATCAAATAGTAATTATATTTTTAGTAAACAATACAAATATATGCACCGATATTAACACATCTCTCTCTCTCTCTCTCTCTCTCTCTCTCTCTTACCACAGGATGTGTTTATAGTATCGGTCGCGCGGACACCCATCGGCTCATTCCGGAGCTCTCTGTCGGCACTGACGGCCCCACAGTTGGGTTCGGTGGCCATCAGGGGTGCCATCGAGAGGGCCGGCATCGCACCCGACAGTGTGGAAGAAGTGATCGTCGGTCACGCACTGACCGCAGGCGTTGGTCACATGACGGCAGCCCAGGCGGCCAAAGGGGCAGGACTGCCAGTTGAGGTGGTGTGCAGTACAGTGAACAAGGCGTGCGCGTCCGGCATGAAGGCTATTATGTCGGCCGCGCAGTCCATAAGACTGGGCGACAGGAATGTGGTGGTGGCCGGGGGTATGGAATCCATGTCTAACACACCATATCTACTGCCGCGCGGAGAGTTGCCGTACGGGAGCGCGACTCTCAAAGATGGCGTTCTCGACGACACTCTCACCGACGCATTCAGCGGCAAACATATGGGCTATTTGGCCGATAAGGAGGCCGTCAAAAACGACATAACCCGCGCCGCTCAGGACGAGTACGCGGCCAACAGTTACCAACGCAGCGCTCGGGCGGCCGCCGACGGCCTATTGGCCAAAGAGATAGTGCCGGTGACTGTCGCCGGAAAACGTGGTAAACCAGGCGTTACGGTCACCGACGATGAAGAATATAAGAAAATAAATGTCGATCGCATGCCATCGTTGGCGCCGGTGTTCGTAAGGGACGGCACCGGAACTGTTACGGCCGCCAACGCCAGCGGCATCAATGACGGCGCCGCCGCCGCTGTACTCATGTCGGGCGCAGCCGTCAGGAAGTTTGGTGTCAGACCGTTGGCCAAAGTGATCGCTTACGCCGACGCGGCTGTAGAACCGGACGGCTTTACCAGAGCCCCGGCCTATGCCATATCCGAGGTATGTCCAAAACAATTTAACGCAATATAATGTTTAATGCCTTAACTTTTTACTAAAACCCATTGATTGTTACAACACAGGTGTTGGCGAAGGCAGGTCTGGACAAGTCTGAGATCGCGCACTGGGAGATCAATGAGGCGTTTAGTAACGTTCCCTTAATTAGCATTAAAATCCTGGGTTTAGACCCCGAAAGGGTGAACCCAAATGGCGGTGCCGTCTCTCTCGGCCATCCCGTCGGGTATGCATTGATTTTGATTTTTAAAAAATTTCTTAATTGTAAAACATATTTTTAATGTCATAATGCCTTGTTTGTCACCACCAGCTGTTCCGGCGCTCGTATTGTCAACCATTTGGCGCTACACCTGAAGTCCGATGAGTACGGATTGGCAGCCATTTGTAACGCCGGTGGCGGCGCTTCCGCTGTATTGATCCAAAAGTTATAATACCTATAATTGCGATCAAATGCTTGTAAATTATTATCAATTATTTTAAGTATTATTTTGTTCAATTCATTACATAATAACAAAACTTTTTAAGTTTATACAAATGTGATCTTATAAAAATGTAATTTTAATGTAAAATTACAATGCACATTTCTCATGTCTTATGTCTAGTTGTAATGACAAAACAAAAATTATCAAGTGTATGTTTCTAGATAAAACCAGTGTCTATTGAAATTACTATAATTGTTTGCGATTACCAAAATCCCAAAGGATTGAATTTATAAATTTAGATTTTACCTAGCACAATCCCCACAAAAAATTGATACATATGTTATATTGTTACTCGATATTATAGTATAGGAAACCATGTAGTCTATTGAGCTATTGAGCCCCCTTCCTCTTACCATTCTCTCCCCCACCCCCTCCTGGATCTCTCGGTTACAACAGTCAGCACTTTTTAGCGTCTAATAAAAAAACAAGTTTTATTAAAATTGTTATATAAAATATATGTTTTGTCATTTAATCAAACAGTTTAGCAAAACTATGGCTTTAAATAAGGTATTATTTGTATATCAATTAAATTTACACTATTAACCTCTCTCTTCCTCACCACAGGATGTGTTCATAGTATCGGTCGCGCGGACACCCATCGGCTCATTCCGGGGCTCAATAGCTCAATAGACTACATGGTTTCCTATACTATAATATCGAGTAACAATATAACATATGTATCAATTTTTTGTGGGGATTGTGCTAGG